TGAGTCTGGGCCGTGGTGTGAGCTGGGGGCACTGAGCTGGGACAGAGGTGAGTCTGGGCCGTGGTGTGAGCTGGCACCCCAGTTGCTGGTGGCTTTCCCCAGCTGACATTGACCAGCATTGGGTGTGCAGTGTGACTGGCTCTGATTTGTGCTGCTTAGTTTGAGACAATTTGAATGGAGCCACTGCTGCAGAGAGACCTCCTTCTGAAGCATCACAGTGGGCCCGGCTGACCCTGACCCAGCGCAGGACACCCCTCTTGGAGTCTGGGGCTCTTGGCTGTGGGCTGGAGATGACAGTGGTGGCTGCCGAGGGTGGTGGGAGTGGTCAGTGCCGAGCGCGTGATTTCAGACCCAGTGAGCCAGGTGGGCACAGCCTGATTTCAGACCCAGTGAGCCAGGTGGGCACAGCCTTTAGCTGGTGTGTTGTGTCCCCTGGCCTGGAACAGCCCCATGGGTGGGTGGCACCTATCAGGACCTGTGCACAGACCCTGCCTGGATTTGGTCTGCCCAGTCTCCTGGACCTGACGGCAACAGGGCTGTGCCTGGTGACGGGAAGGCTCCGAGCCAGGCCGGGTGGCCCACTGTGCGCGTAGCTGCTGTGTTGGTGGCGCCTTTGCCCTGGCCCTCGTTCAGGAAGATGCTGGCTTTTGGGCTCTAGGGAAGTGCCTATTGGTTTCTGTTGAGAGCAGTTGTATGTGCACATTTTAAGTGTGGAACGCAGGTATTGAACCGTGTTGAAACCTTTCCAGCGTTGGCAGAAGTGTGCGTGTGAGTCTCCTTTGTCCTCTTACTTTACTGGCAGGTGGTGTGGCCCGAGTGGCCGGCGGTCCTTCTGATGGGGCGGCCCACGTGCCTCCCACGTGCCAGGCTTTTGGGGCAGATGCTTGTGAACGCTGCTGCCTATGGGTTGCCTTCATTGGTGGAGGTGAGGCCTCAGCTTTGGCGTCCTGTCCACCCTTAATCCTTGCCTAGGAGCAGTCTGTGGGCCCCAGAAGACTGGCCGGAAGCTGGAGCTGGGCGGCAGCTGAGGACGCGCACCTTGGAGGTTGTGTGGAGGTTCCATCACTGCTGTCTTAATTCCCAGGCACTCTTCTTTTTCTCTGGAAGTTCCTTTTTAAGGGTGTCCTGGTCTTCATGGAGGTGCCGTGTCACTCCGAGCGCAGAGGGCTGCTGCTGAGGAAGTCCTTACCCTCCCACCTAGGGCTCTTCTCCAAGTTCCTGGTTTTGCTTGTTTGCCCCTTGTCTGTTTTGGCCTCTGTTGGGTCTGAACTAGGTGGCCTTGGCAGCTCCTCACACCCAACAGTGGGAGCCTGAGAAGGGTCAAAGCTGGGGCAGGTTGGGGACACGCTGGGCGCAGGGCCACCTTGCTGGGCACCTCGGCCCGTTGGTGTCTGTTGGGAGCAGCCCTGGGGCAGCCCCACAGCCTCTGCCGGCAGTACAGACAGAGCTGCCCGTTCCTGGGGCTGGAGAGCTCAGGGCCTGAAAGACCCCCGAGCCCTCGCCCTTCCTCTGCCGGCCCCTTGCTGTCAGCAGACCAGGTGCGGACCCTGGTAGGCTTCCTCTGCCCCAGCTTCAGTGGAGAGCGCTTGCCCAGCTGGCTGGCGGGAGTGGGAGGGGTGTTTGGCCACTTGGAGCAGCAGGGGGTGGGTAGGCAGGGTTTCTGCATTCCTGGCTTGATACTGGCTTTCCAGCAGCTTCCCAGCTTCCAGAATGTCCTTGCCATCATCTCCCATCCTATTTCCCCTTTTTTGGAGCAGGAGACTGGGGTGGCCTATCTTCTTTCAGTTGAGGCTTCCAGGGGGCGAGATGAGTCTAACATGTGCCTTTGCCTTTAGCGAGAAGACCACCGTGATCAGATTTTCCAGAAAAGAACTTGCATGGTAGTTTTGAAAATGGGAGGGTGTTTGTGAGGCAGGATATCAGAAATACTTTATACACAGGGGACCTGGCATGTAACAGAAACACCAACAAAATGATTTTGCGTATAATCACATGGTGATTTATCTCTTCTGAGAAACAGGCACAAATCCTGAAGAGCCTGTGGCACGGACTGCTCATCTGTAAGGAAAGTGGAGACATGACCTTGAGATTTGGCTCAGAACTAGCAATGCCGGGGCCTTGGAGAGTCTGATGTTCCAGCACTCCAGTGCCTGTTGGTGTGGACGGAGGACACGGGGCCCCAACCATGGTCACACTCATCACTGAGAAGCTACAGAGCCAGAGCCTGGACGACCTCACCTGCAAGACCGAGGCTGGTCCGGTAAGCAGCTGCAGGTGGCACGAGGCTGGGTGCCCCTCCCCCGAGCTGTCACAGGGGAATGGCCACACTGGGAGGTGGAGGTGAGGGCTAAGTTCTCAGGGGCCTGGGAGGCACTGCTAGGCCAGGCATGGGGGTGTCTGGTGCACAAGTGGGCCCCAGAGCCCATCAGTGTCATCACAGCGGATTTTCAGCATCATTTTAAAAAAACAGACTTATTAAAAATGCCAGCGGGGCACAGTGGCTCACGCCTGTAATGCCAGCACTGTGGGAGGCTGAGCGCGCAGATCAGTTGAGGTCAGGAGTTTGTAACCAGCCTGGCCAACATGGTGAAACCGCATCTCTACTAAAAATACAAAAACTAGCCGGGCGTGGTGGTGGGCGCCTGTAGTCCCAGATACTCGGGAGGCTGAGGCAGGAGAATGGTGTGAACCTGGGAGGCGGAGCTTGCAGAGAGCTGAGATGGTGCCACTGCACTCCAGCCTGGGCAACACAGTGAGACTCCGTCTCAAAAAAAAAAAAAAAATGCCTTGAGTTGCTATTTAAAAAGATAGGGTTTTACTGAAAGGCTGACTTACACACAGAAGCTGGAGCCTCAAGCGCAGGTGTGCCTGTTAGCATCCAATCAAGCAGCAGCATGTGCCCCACTGGCCTCCCTGTCCCTCCCCTCCTAGCTCCACCTCCCAAGGGAGCCTCTGTCTTGGATTTGATCACCACATTAGCTTCCCACAGGCAGACTGATTTTCCTACAGTCATGGTGAAGTGAACTTTGGATGTGCCACCTTCAGGACCCACCCCCTGCCCTGGTTAGAAGGCATATCTAGAAGGAGGTGGCTGATGTCTAGCCTGGAGGGTCTTGCCAGGCCCTCAGAGCCAGCAAGGGTGCTTGGAACACCTGCCTGTCCTGGGCCCGGCTTGGCCGTGGCTCTGGAGGCGTGAGCACGCTGCATTTGTAGCCCCGTGCATGTTATGGAAATGAGAGGGTGAAGGGAAAGCTGTGGGTCTCAGGCCTTTGGGCTGGACGCGTGTGACCCATCTTCACCGCAGGGGGTTCCAGCGAGGGTCTGAGGGTCCAAGCTGAAGCCTCTCCTCCCACGAGCTGGCGAGCATGGGCGTTGGGCTGTGGGAGGTGGCATGCGGCCTGAACCTTTGCAAGCACTGCTTATGGGCCTGGCGCTCAGGGCCACGATGACCGAGGTGACCATGGCAGTCAGTGCTGGCTGTGTCCTGTAGTCAGTACGTTTCTGGCTGTCAGCCCATGGGTAGGGGTGGCTGAGGCGGGGAAGGCAGTGCTTGCCTGATGTCTCAGTGCCTTGCTGGCTGCAGAACCATGTTCTTTCCAGACACCGTGGCCAGTTCCCATTTTTTCTTTTCTTTTTCTGGAGACAGAGTCTTGCTTTGTCATCCATGCTGGAGTGCAGTGGCACCATCTCGGCTCACTGCAACCTCCGCTTCCCGGGTTCAAGTGATTCTTGTACCTCAGCCCCCCGAGTAGCTAGGGTTACAGGCACACGCCACCACACCCGGCTAAATTTTTTTTTTTTTTTTGAGATGGAGTCTTGCTCTGTTGCTTAGGCTGGAGTGCAATGGCACAATCTTGGCTCACTGCAACCTCTGCTTCCCAGGTTCAAGCAATTCTCCTGCCTCAGCCTCCTGAGTAGCTGGGATTACAGGTGTGTGCCACTAGGCAAGGCTAATTTTTGTATTTTTAGTAGATGGGGTTTCACCATGTTGGTCAGGCTGGTCTCGAGCTCCTGACCTCATAATCTGCCTGCCTCGGCCTCGCAAAGTGCTGGGATTACAGGTGTGAGCCACCGTGCCTGGCCTAAATTTTGTATTTTTAGTAGAGACGGAGTTTCACCATGTTGGCCACGTTGGCGAGGCTGGTAAGTGATCTGCCCACCTTAGCCTCCCGAAGTGTTGGAATTACAGGCGTGAGCCACCACGCCTGGCCCCATTTTTCCTTTTGATTAAATGGAGAAAACGTTTTTAAGGAATCTCTAACCAAGACCAAAGGATACAGAGTGGCATATGCCTGTGAGATGGCTGTGTGCCTCCGAGGACATTTTTGGCAAGTGGATGTCAGCCAGGGCGTGGGCAGCTTTCCAGGGAGGTGGCTACACAGCGTGCCTGCCGGGCCTGGGAGGTGTCTGGACAGATGTCCTGGTTTGGAGTGACCCACAGGCCCCCACATCCTCTGTGCTTTAGGTGGCTGCTCTTCACCTCTTGTTTTCAGCTTTGATTTTAGATACGGGGGTACATGTGCAGGTTTGCCCCTTGGGTGTATTGCACTCGGGTTGTGAGCATAGTACCCGGTAGGTAGCTCTTCAGCCCCTGCCTCCTTCCTCCCTCCCGTTCTTCATCTCTTTACGGAGCACTTGTCCGTTGACAGAGAGAAGGCAGCGTGGGCAGTTCCTCGGTCAGCCTCAGCCTTGGGACAGGAGCCCTGGGGGCCCTGCAGGGTGAGTGGTCATGAGGGTTCCATCACAGCCTGCTCCTGCTCCTGCTCCTGCTCCTGCTGACCCGGCTCTATTAGTGGCCAGCCAGGGCCACTGTTGAGTCTTCTGCTGTCAAAGATGGTTTTTCCCAGTGACTCCTGTTTTCTTAAAACACGGCCTGTGAATATGGCGGTGGTTTCTTTCTGAAATGGGAGGACAAACCTTTTCATCCCTAAGTGTAAACCTTTTTACTTTTTTTTTTTTTATGAGATGGAGTCCTTGCCCTGTTGCCCAGGCTGGAGTGCAGTGGGGTACTAGCATGTCACTGCAACCTCTGCTTCCAGGGCTCAAGTGATTCTCCCGCCTCAGCCTCCTGAGTAGCTGGGACTACAGGGGTGTGCCACCATGCCCAACCTATTTTTTAATTTTTAATTTTTTTTGAAAGGGATGGAGTCTTGCTCTGTCGCCCAGGCTGGAGTACAGTGGTGCAGTCTTGGCTCACTGCAAGCTCTGCCTCCCGGGTTCAAGCGACTCTCTTGCCTTAGCCTCCCGAGTAGCTGGAATTACAGGCACCACCACCATGCCCAGTTAATTTTTTTTTTTGTATTTTTAGTAGAGATGTGGTTTCACCATATTGGCCAGGCTGGTCTTGAACTCCTGACCTCAAGTGATCCACCCACCTCAGCCTCCCAAAGTGCTGGGATTACAGGCATGAGCCACCGTGCCCAGCCTTTATCAGGATTTTAAAATTTTATGTATTTATTTTCATTTTTTAGATGGAGTCTCGCTCTGTTGCCCAGGCTGGAATGCGGTGGTGCGATCTCGGCTCACTGCAACCCCTGCCTCCCAGGTTCAAGCGATTCCCCTGCCTCAGCCTCCTGAGTAGTTGGGATTACAGGCACATGCCACCAAGCCCAGCTAATTTTTGTATTTTTAGTAGATACGGGGTTTCACCTTGTTGGTCAGGCTAGTCTCGAACTCCTGACCTCAGGTGATCCACCCCCATTGGGCTCCCAAAGTGCTGGGATTACAGGCCTGAGCCACTGCGCCCGGCCGGGTTTTTTGATCTTTGTGATGAGGACAGTGTGATTGCCTGTGTTGAAGAAACCCAGTTACTCAGTGATAGATTGTTTACACGTGAGACCAGCTCTCCCACGTAACTTGTGAATATCTAAACACAAGTTACTTCTAACATTCATGGAAACAAGTCAGTATTTTAAGTAGCCAATTCGTTGCATAAAAATAGAAATTGATGTTTTCAAAGGTGACTTAAAATAGTATTTTTATGAAAAATAAGTGTAGACAATTGCACAGAGTAGAAACTCATACATTCATGTGTGAGTTTCTGTGTGGAAGTATGTCTTCGTACATACCCACGGCCTGGCCTCAATGAGCAAGCAAGGCGGGCGCCGTTAGCTCAGGGCTCCTTGTTTGATCTGTACCTTTACCCAGTCCCCTCCTGCCATGATTTCATAGTGCATTCTAGACATACTTTCTCTGCAAATATCTCATTCTGTATCTCCAAAAGATAAAGACTTTAAGACACATGACCAGAATGTCATTTTCCCACCTAAAACCCTCAGAGATTCCTTAATATCTCTAAATATCCTGTCAGCATTCAAACTTCCCCAATTGTCTGAATTTATGAATTTGTTCAGGGAGTCCAGATTCAGGGTGTCTCATGTCCCTTTTCCCCATGGGGTCCCCCTTGGAGCTTGTGTGTTGAGGACGCAGCTGCTTGTCCTGGAGTGTCTAGGCTGCATGCCCTGGCTGGCGCCTCACGCGCTCCCCTCCCATGTTTGTTCTGGAGTTGCTGGTTGGAGCCAGTGCTGCCCTGCCTCCTATGGTTCCCTCTAGTTGCACATGGATTTTTAAACTGAAATTAAAGTTGATTTAGTGATTTAGCTTTTTTTTTTTTTT